TCAAAAGGTCATGTAATTTAATACACATTTTCTTCTCTCTCCATAGTTCCCAGTACCATGGGAGAATGAGAGGGCAACATTAATATTCGGGCGTGTCACGTCTGCGAAGGCCAGAATAGACGATGCGAATCGCTTGGCCAAACGCCGTAAGGAAGAGCCTACCTGCTGGTGGAGTGAGAATGAAGTATTGACCGTACTGTACGATACAGTGCGTGCTTTGGTATGGCAGGACAGTTCATGTGCGTATATCTATTAATGAATACAAGTGTTAAGTATGCGTGTATATGTACTTTTATATGTGGATGGTTTATGTGCGTATATCTATAAATGAATATAAAGGTTAAGTATGCGTGTATATGTACTTTTACATATGGATAGTTTATGTGCGTATATCTATAAATCAATATAAAGGTTAAGTATGCGTGTATATGTACTTTTACATATGGATAGTTCATGCGCGTATATCTATAAATGAATATAAAGGTTAAGTATGCGTGTATATGTACTTTTAAATGCGGATGCTGTGCATTTTTTGGAAACATACAGGTACGTGAGAGTCCCGTCCCTCGAGCAGTGATGCTGAAGGGACTGTAGGAGGGGCCCTTGACCATGGATCTAGTATAACATATCATACCTGTACAGAATATTTCCATCTTATGTAATGTTACCTTTCTCCTTATATATACATACAAAATATATGCTTATGTACGGCATATTCAAGATATATGCATAAGTACGAATATACATTCTAGCCTATATGTATGTGTACGGATATTCGAATAATTTATATGTATATGTACGGATATACATTCAATCTATACAAATGTGCGAATATACGTTCAACTCAGTTGTTGTGCTCTATTTTGGCATACCAGTATATACGCCTCGCAAGCGGGAAGGGTTTGTATAGTGATGGTTGCATCATAGCTGGTACATCGAGGGCAAAATTCTTGCACTCCCTATAACATGGTCATAGCTCTGGTTAGTCCACCTAGATATTGAAAACTACAGAAACGCCTGTTCGCAAACGAAATATGATTTTATCATATGCATGGCTACATATATATATATATGTGTGTGTGTGTGTGTGTGTGTGTGTGTGTTTGTGTAAGTGTATATATATACATATTGTTTATTATTTATAATGTATATATATATATGTTATATATATACATATATGCATAATGTTTATATATATATATATATATATATGCGTATGCATCAAATTGGATCTTCGAACTGTACGAAACCAACGTCCTATCAATACCGGTTCTGTACACCACTCCATAGGTCATGGGTGTGCCAGATATCGCACACAAGTTCTTCAGACATGGATCCATCGAAGTGAATGAGGCCACATTCTTTGGTATCTCTTCCATAGTTGCGTTTTATTTGCTGTTGTCCGGACGGATATTCACGATGGTGTCTGCGTTGATCCTGAGACCCATACCGACCCTTGTGCTGTATGTGGCGGCTCCGTACATAAGAATATGGACTATGGGCAGGAAGGTGCTGGTTACTTGGCGGTATATAAAGCAAGGTATGTGGAGATACACGCGTTTCAAGTAGACGTATTGGAAGTGCTCTCGGCACGGTAACTTATTTTCTAGTTTAACGCATATGGTGTTCGGAGCTTACATCGAGTATTAGAATGATGGATACACAGTATCTGCGTTACTTACATTTCTAACAAGCGAATGCGACCGACTGTACGACTGGAGAGTTTGTGGTCGTTTGTTACATACAATACGTTAGGCCCTTGCGTACGTGGCGATGGGTATGTGTGGCGTACCTGTTCGACAGAGGTTGTACTGCTAATAATTAGGTCGGTGGAGTCAATTGGAGCTTCGTATAAATACATTCATGCGCATACATGATATGTATGTATACGTTTATATACTTATGCTTACTACACTGAACGTCTATGATATAGTATTCATAGCAAAGCCTCGAATGGTATAACGGAGCTTGAGACAGCCAAAGCAGTGGACAACCCCACTTCAGATGACGACCGAGTCTGGAATGTTGGTGTACTGTTCTACAGATAGTATATATAAATGTCTGTAATTATTACCAGCATAGAACTCATATCCACTTACACACTATATGTTACGATGAATCCCCGATGCCGGTTGTAGCGGGGTCTGACTCGGCCAAAGTTGAGAGCAAATCCACCGCAGAGGTTAACAGCGTCCACAATATTATTGTACCCCAGGGATGCACATGTTCCATCAATAGTATATCTATATGTGTAGCTATTGCTAACATAGCCAATATATACATCTATATACCACTTACTAAGATAAATTCCCTATACCGAATGTAGCGGAGTCTGAGTCGGCCAGAGTAGAAACCAGCCCCACCGCAGAGGATAACAGAGCCTTAAATATCATTGTACCCCCAGGGAGCACGTTCCATCAATAGTATATACATATATATATATGTGTGTGTGTGTGTATGTATATGTATTATATATCTATTACTATTGCTTAACATGACCAATACAATCGTTTACATACCACACAATAAAATAAACCCCCCATGCCGGATGAAGAGGAGTCTGAGTCGGCCAAAGTAGAACCCAACCCCACCGCAGAGGTCAACAAAGCTCAGAAAGTGGCTGGTGCGCGCAGGAGGAAGGCAGCGAAGCCCGACACACAGGCAATGGGTACGGACTCTTCCCTTGAGGACACGGATACCAATACAAGCACTACAAGTGAGTCAGCAAGTGCGATAGACGGCTCAGTGGGTCCCGGAATGGCGGCGACGGAAAGCGGTACAGTGGCTGGTCTATTTATAGATTGTACCGTGGGGTACTGGATGGTTGTCGGGGTGGCTGGTGCCAGTATACACGCACGTGTATGTGAGTATGGTCGACTGTTATGTCGCACAGATTGGGTGCTTGACAACGTGCGTGTGACTGACATTCAAGAATGCAGTGTTCGTACTTAAGGCCTAGTTTTGTGTCAACGTGTGCTTGTACTCGATATCTCCCCGGAGAAACCGATCACATACAGATCATAGGCTGAACGATGCCGGACCTTTTGTGTGCGTTTCAAATGCTGTTTATTTACAGAGATGTAACTTATAAATGCTCTATACCGTATCTATATATCTGTCTGCCAACACGTATACATACATACACACATATATAACACCCTTGGCAACAAACGGCTGGTTTACGACGGAACTTTTTGTATTCTGGTCGACTGCTCTTATCAATCATTGCTCTGATGCACATGAGACCAAAGGGACTGTAGCTGTCGTATCTACAGTCATACAAATGCATAGGGTTTCGGGATTTAAAACTCCTTCTGCACATTATTAACCGCCTAATTACACACACATACAGTTAATACCCGGCTCATTCCACACACATACACACGCACACAGCTATAGAACTTCATGATATATTCATTGTGTCCGACTACGTACACACATATATACACACAACATACACAGCACCTGGCGCAACAGAATGACACTGTACAGATGAACACACGGCGTGTAGATAGGCAGACGGACTATCGCAACAGGGCAATCTATAACGATATTGTCCACAGCCATATAACTATATACTGTATTCGTGTATATATGCCTACGAACACACCCACTCACTCACACTCTCTCTCTCACTCATACACTGACACACACTGACACGCGCACATATATGCTCTGTGTGTGTGTGTGTGACACACTGACACACTCTCCTCACTCACACACTCACGCACACACACTCCTCTCTCTCTCTCTCTGTGACACACACACACAGCACCTTCTGCAACTGACGGCTGGTTTACGTCCGAGATAACTCTGATGAACACACGACCCGTTGAGAGGCGGACGGACTATCGCAACTGGGGCACAAGTGTAGTGCAGTTTGATTTCTTGTTGCACTTTACGAAGAATGTCATTCCATTGCTCATGGTCACTGCCACGGGTCAGGTCTTCAGTGGAATTGTGGCGTATTTGGTGGTGGGACAGGTAGGTAGCAGGGTGTGGATTGGTAGGGTGTGACTCGTATGAGAGTAGATGTATATGTATGTGTATGTATATATATATATTATATATATGTGTGTGTGTATGTATGTTTGTATACATATACATATATAATATATATATGTGTGTGTGTGTGTGTGTAGGTGTCTGGATGTAGATATATATATGTATGTGTGTGTGTGTGTGTGAAGATATATATATGTATGTATGTATATATATATGTGTGTGTGTGTGTGTGTGTATGTATATGTACATGTGTTGTGTGTGTGTGTGTTTGTGTTTACACTATGGTATGTCTAATACTACGGTAAGATGCCATATAAGCACAGGTCGGCTGGGGCGGACTTTCCGACTGAGGTGACCTTCACACATAGACTTACTTTCAAAAGCACAGAATCCTTGCGCATGCGTGCATGGCTTGGACTGATCTTAATATACGTGGCAACACCTGCACCCAATTAAGCACTATTGTATCATTACATGCTCATGTACCAACTATTGAAACTATTATACTACTACTGG